GCAGATGCAAATGAAGATGCAAAAGCTGAGGCAGATGCAGATGCAGATGTACAAGCAGAAGCAGAAGCAGAAGCAGAAGCAGAAGCAGAAGCAGAAGTAGAAGTAGATGCAGGACAGGAGCAGATACACATGAAGGGGCAGAAGCAGGAGCAAGAGGAGACAAGGAAGCAGATGTAGATGCCAAAGCAGAAGCAGGAACCATGCAGAAGCAGATGCAGATGTAGAGGCAGTGGCAGAAGAAGATGCAGATGCAGATACAGATGCAAAGGCAAAAGCAGAAGCAGATTAACAGTTGCAGACGAAGATGAAGATGTATAAGCAGAGGCAGAGGTAGATGTAAATGTAGACACAGATACAAATACAGTAAGCTTCTATTGTAAGGAAAGAAGGAACTTTTAACTAGACATCTCTACTGTAACTGTAAGTACCGTCACAAGTAAGAATAAACACGCATAACACTTACAACAGACTGGAGAGACAAAAGAATGCTAAATCCAAAACACACGCAAAATCTCAAATAAAGCAGTGACAAAACAATACCACATCTAACACAATGAACTTTAAAGGCACATAGAGTAACAACACAAGCACGTGAACCAAATACTGCTGGCAAGCTTTCTGTGCACAGACTGTGTAAAACCCTACTAATAATTTACATTGTTACCAGACAAATCAGTAACATACCAGGTGATGATGCCGTATATAATGCTCTGTACAATAAACATTCCAAGAACGTAGGCAAAGCTGAAGTCATCATCAGGAGCAGGGGATCTGCCAACTCGGCTCCAGGTCAATCCAACCTCTAGGCTCTCAAATTTAGCAATGATACGAGTGGCAATTCCAAGGCAAGTATTTGGTAAAAGACAGGAAGCAGCTTTCTCACCCCTGTAGCAATTAGTAAAGACTCTGTAAATATTGATATGTAAATCAAGGCAACCCGTAAAGAAAAGTTAGAACTTGCAAAACTGTCGGAGACAACAGGACAAACATCTTATCATTTGCTTTCACCTTTTAGTTTAGTTGACTTAATTTCCACTTGTCCTCTTTTGTACACATAAATGCCTGAAATGCATTGTTTAAGCCTGTGTTGTAGCAAAATTACCCTCTTAATAAACACTGCAATTGGAAAAGCTTTCAGCAATTTTCTCAGTCCCAAGTACATATATATAAAAGATTATTTCTACATCTCACTACATGGGAAGCTAGTCCTTCACATGGTTATCCCAGCAGTTAATTCACAGTTTCTGGATTTGGCTTCTTTTTAAAACATCTCTAAGCACTGTTACAATGTAACAGAAGTGGTTTATTGGTTGTGCTCTTAAAGGTCAGGCTTGCACATGTTTGGCTTGGCATGACACCCAGTTGTGAGTGGGAAGTAGTCCACACACCTTGACAAAGCCTCATAGGCCTCCTGTTGGGCAAAGGTCTGGTAAGGAACCAAAGAACAGTACCAAGCCACCGCACCAAACAGCATACCCACAACTGGTCTTGAGAAGAAAACACTGCAAATAACAATTAGAGGGCAAGTTAACCACCAGCAACTTGAAAAGCATTCAATGAGCTGGCAAGAAAATGCACTCTATGTGGAGCCTGGCTGGCTTGCCACAATGGAAGACTTAATATGTGTACAGTGTTGCACTTGTGCCTCAACATGGTGGCAGAAAAACACATGGAGAAGCATATCTCAAGACTTCTCTAGCTTCTTGCTCTGAAGGGTTATTTTTAGGGTCCAGAAGAGTTTTGAATAAGTCCACATGATTGTCGCGGTATGCTTAGATCTACATATAGTTATCAGAATACCACGATTTTCAATTTTGTTATTTACAAGAAGATCTCGTCATGACCCTTCATTTCCAAAACATTTCACAAATCAGTTGACTGATTTTAGACTCATTTCTGAAAAAAACAATTGATGCGCACTTTAGATTTCCTGTCATAAATGGTCAAGAGTCTGTTAACATCAATAAACTTGCATTTGCTTGCTAAACCCACTTTCTGAAGTCTTCAATGCAGTCTTAATCTTTTTTGTTTGGCCTCACCTGTGCATAGAAATTTCTTAAATTTAATGATTCATTAATTCTTACCTTACAGCAAAGCAGAACATAATACTTGCTATAATATAGAGCACAAGAAATACAAAGAGAAGAGAGCCATCAGAGAACTCAAAGATCTTCATCACCTGTTAATAATGAGATGATAATATATTTATTAGCAAAGGAACTTCATTCCATTTGTGGTACAATTTTCAGGTGGAATTAGCAAGTAACCCAATCCAATTTTTGTACATTTTTGAGACACCTGCCAGTTTTTGACTTTAAATTAGCTAAACAACTTGTCCAGTGCAGTAGGAATAATCAATAAAAATTCCATCACTTTGTACTTGTACTGTTTCGCTATAAACAGTTATACTGTCTACACTTGACAATTTTATATCAAGATTAAAAATTCCAGAGGTGTAGCAGCTCTCGTAAGCTTGTAATTCTCTTCATTGTTACATCACCCAAAAATTCACGACTGATGGTTTAAGAGTAAGTTCAGCTCAAGAGTAACATTGGCATGCAGTGTTTCTCTGAGAATCAAATTCATGCTCACTAAGCAATTTGATTTCGAATAAAACTTGAAGTGTTTTACAACGATTTGGACCAACAATTTCATTTGTTATCTGCCACTTAATACCCCACCAGTGCAAAGGCACTGAAGGGATGAGACAATTTTTTGTTAATTTCTGTGTCAGTTACCTTTAGTAGAATAGTGGCTATACTAATGGTAACAAGCAGGAACAGTAGATTTTTGGTGAACCATGCACACCAGTGAATCCAGTTAGCCAGTCCCATCATCTTCATTGATTCTTTCAAACGATTCTGTTTTTCGTTGACCAACTCCTATTAAATTGAAATACTGGCTTGAGTACAATTAAGATCTATTACAAATGCATTTTTAAGCTTCAATCCCAGACTAAAGTGTTGGGACACCAAGCAAGTTCTCCCTTCCTCCCACTTACAATGTTGATAATCACAGGTGATTTTGTGCCCTTTTTGTTGAAAAAAGGCAACAATTTCCAACATTGATTGGGGGGAATAAGGGACACATGATCCAGCTAAAGTGTCCCAACTACTTTTGTATGGGATTGTAGTCACAGAAGTAGCAGTGACACAGGCATAATGAAAAGCTAAGAAGGACAAGCATGCATGCATCAAGATTCTCTTAGAATACGAACCACTACAAAAGGCAACCACTGCAGTTACAAAATATGCAGACCATGTTATTTGTCACCAAAATTTCAAGTCCAGTAACTTTTATGCCAGCAAGGCTTAAAATTCCTTTACTTCCAAAATTGCAATTTTTAACCCCATCCTGACGATAATTAACTATGATTTCATAGTTTCCTTTCACAACCTTGGGTCCATCCCAATGTCTCTTGCTCTTCCTTCACAACTATTTTCTTTACTAGTCAGCCTCAGTTAGTCCTCATAGAAAATAATACTTATTCTATGGATCAATAATGATAGAGCGTTTTTTGATTGAGTGTTGTGAAACCAATTAGACTACTCAGCCAATCTCAAACCGTGGTAAAACCAAAACCAACGTAATTGCCTGATTACTTTCGACACTCACCTGAAAGTTGCTCTAACAATAATATATAATTATTACAAGTACCTGTAGTTATCTCTGTAGGCCATAATTTGGCTCACAACAAAATTTCCACTTGCAGGCTAGGTAGCACGATTTTGTAAGTTTGATTATCTACCTTTTCTTGGTCTCTAATTATTCAGGAATATAATCATTATAGTTGACATTTGTTTCACTTTTCTAATACATGTAGTATGTACTTGGAAATACAAGCCCAGTGCAGCTTCATTAATGTCAGTAAAAACTATATGCATTTATAGCAACTGACCTTGATAACCATTACAGCTGAGTACATGAAGGCTAGTGTCATTAAAAGAGGAAGCAATCCCTCTACTGTCTGTATGAAGAAATTCTGAGTGAACTTTGGATAAGGAAATTGCTACAAAGAGAACCAAAAAAAATATATTAAATCAATGGCAAAATGGTATTCACTCAGGGATCTACATGAAGATAAAGTCTTAAGTGAGATAGAGAGGTGTACCTGCAATTTTAATGGTATTGGCTGAGTCAGGTTATTAGACTGTTCTACAATGATGGCCATGTCAACTGCATACTGCAACAGCACAAAGCGTGACTTATAGCCCTCACAACAACGGCTAGAGAAAACAATAGAAAATCAGCAGTTTTATTAAGTATGTACAGCTACTGACAGTATTACAGTACAGCTGTAGGTTTAAGCTTAATGCTGAGACATTGCACAGCAAACCTCTGACCCAAAAGTTTACCCTGAAAAGCAAGCCTACATAGTTGTACAGGTGCTGTGTAACAATTGCAATTAGATACTGACCACAAGCCCCATATCTAAGGCAGATATCATGAATGCAATCGCCAGGCCAAGCACCTGGTAATTGGTTGGTGTAATGGCAGAATTGCTCGAGGCTGACATGTTCAGGTATATGGGGTGACCATAAGATTATTTTAATGTATAGAAAATCTAAGCTGTATCCCTAGGTTCTTTAATTGAGTATGCAACTCAAGTCCCTCTGGGATACAGAAACTAATTGGCCTTAGGGAAAGCTAAGGGGCACTCCCATGTTAAAGGGGGATACTTAATGGAATTAAAGGTACTGTACCAGAATCAATCTACTGGTGTTACAAACTAATTGCATATTGCTTTGCATTTCATATCTCTGACCTCTCCTCATCCTTCCTGGGCCCTACAGCCTGAAAGTCTGGGTATGTGTTTTCAGTCCGCCAGCGCTTCAGATCACCAGCCAGTGTGTGTGACAGCCGCAGGCTGTACTTGATCTGTTTAGGAAGTTTTGTTGCACCTTTATCAATGTCAAATTCCAAAGCTACAGATAAAACAGTACAAGAAAGTGTTTTAACAACTATATATTCCCTACCATGACCACCATCAATCAATTTTTGCTCTTTCAACAATAAGAAACATTTCATTATTTAGGCTGAAAGAATACATTATTAGTGGTATCACCATATTCCTTAAACCCTCCTTAAATAATAATAATATTATTATTATTATCAGTATCAGTATCAGTATCAATATCAGTATCATTATCATTATCATCATTATACTACAGACTAGTTATGCAACACATTTGAGTGGTATGCTGTGGAATACTCCACGTGTCACTGGAGTTTTCTTGGCGTACACGTCATCAGCCTTTATAACTATTTTATACTATGCGATAGAAAATACAGTGGCCAACACATATGCATGGTGCATGATGGGAAGGCAGGATTTAATACTGTCCAAATTGGAATATACAACCACTTTCCTGCGTTCTGATTGGCTGTAAGTATTTTCTGTGGCATTGGTACAAAGTGTAATATATACATAAATGTATGTCATGTACTAGTGTCTTTATGACAGCTTATGCATTATGGTATACACATTAGTTCCAAGTTTGTAGGTCTATAATATTGTAGCCTACAAGCAGCCTCATCACAAGGAAAGAAAGGAGGCACAGGCCTGCTCACAGGCTAATATAATAATTAATTGATCTCACATCAGCTTGTGTACATGGACCAATTGCTCAAGCACTTTTCACAAATTTGACCTCAGCACAAAATTGAACTGGCAATAGAACAATCTGATTGGTTGATAAGGTAAGGTACGGTAAATTCATTTTGAGTCGTAAATGTGGGGAGTGGTTGCCCAATCTCCCGAGCCAGGGGCTCATGACAAAAATGCACGACTATTTACCATAATGTTACTACTTACAATTTCTATATTTGCTAAGATAGTTTCAGAATTAAAATGATGTTTAAGTTATTGGCCCTTTAGTCCTGTAATAAAAGCAAATTAATTATAATAATTGTTAGTAGTTATGTACCTGCATAGTACTCATCATGTTGTGAGGCTTCCTTTGCCATTTCATCAGCAGATGACCAATTTTCTTTATGGAAAAGACTACTTGAAATCACTTTCAAACCAGTCATTGCTGCTACCCTCATCATGACCTTTGTCACTAAAAGGTATTCATGAAAATAAACTAAACATGTCTGAGAATGTTCATGAATTGCTAATAATCACTAATAAGAACATGTTCACCAGATAGAAACCCCTGAAGGATTGAACTTAATTATTATATAAACACCAATGAAATACCAGGTGATGTTTTGCACGAAATCATGATATCTTCTCATGTGAAAATAACATGATTGTTATCTTCACATGTAGAAAGATCACCTTTCACAACAAAAGATAAATTGTTTGGTATCTCATTGGTGTTTATATTTATATAAAGAGAACATTACATGTCCACTTAGAGATACAAAAAATCTCCTCTCATGTATTTTTCAACACTGACACACTCATTCCTCTGCATGGCCACATAATATCCTCTGTTTCTCACAAATTTGATCAATATCATATAAAGGTTTTCCTCATATATATGTCGTCGGCACA